AAGACTCCGGTCCTCGGCGAGGTGGCCGCGGGAGGTGCGCGCCGGTCCTCAGGTCTCGCCGAGGGTCCTCTGTTAATCCAAATAAATAAACCGTTGGATGGGAATCTCTCCCTCTCTCTCTCTCTCTCTTTCTCCCTCTCTCTCCCTCTCTCTCTCTCTCTCCCACCCCCACCCGAATCCCTCACCTCTGACCTGCAGCTCCCTCCACCTGTCTTTTATTTTCTATTTATGCTACCAGCGCGGGAGGCGGGGGGAGGAGAGCGCAGCGCGTACCCCGCGGCCGGTGCGGGGAGACGCGCTCGGTCCCGCCCTCGCAGCCTCTCAATAATCCGGGGAGGTGTTAATGGAGGCCTCGCGGTTACTGAACCTCATAAAGCCCCAGCGTCTTGAGGTTTGGGCGCCGCGGGAGGCTGGAGCCCCGCCGCGCTCCCTGGGCTCCGGTCCCCATCCGGCCCGGGCCTCGCCGTGCTCCCTTCCACCCGGAAGATGGGGCCGCCAGCCGGAGCCCGCATAGACGGGGAGGGGCGGCCGCTCGTGCGGGGAGCTGGGCCAAGCCCTCGATTGCTCACCGCACATCCGCCCGCCCCTCCCGGTCCTTCCTCTCAGCGCTCCGGGGCGGGGCGCGGGAACCAGGCACTTTGGGGGTGCGCTCTGCGCGCCAGGGGGGCGTTGTCGGCGGGTCAGCGCGCCTGCCGGAGGTTTCTCTCCCGCCCGGCGAGGAGGCGGGGATGGCGATTAATCTTCCGGGGGAGAACCGACTCTAGCCCTGGGAGATGAGCCTTCCGGGGGCGCAGACTCCCAGACCCGGGACAGGTGGGGGCCCTGTTACCTGGTCTCAGGTCCCCCGAGGGCCTGCGTAGCCCCAGCAGCCCCGGGAGCAGTCAGGCCGCGGGGAAGCGGACGGAGAGCCAGGAAGCCCGGCCTCTGGGCAATGATCTCCCCACTCCCCACCGGGTGCGCCCCTGGCAGCCAGAGATGGGCGTGGCGGGGAATACTGGGAGGCTCCCGCACCTCTGGGGCCGGGGATGTGAGCAGCGAGACGGGCCGCTGCGGGACGCAGGTCCAGATGACAGTGCCACTCTCCGTACCCTCCCCTCTCCGGTGTCCCCACCGTGGCTCCTCCGCGGTGCGTGCGCCCAGGGCGCGGTGGGCTGCGGGCGCCCGCGCGCCTGGGAGCCACCTGCGAAGACAGCGTGCGATGCGGGGCACGTGGGGCTGGGCAAGGGTGGACCCACCTCTTCGCCGGGCCTGCCGGCTCCACCACACAGTCTAGGGGTGGCAAAGGGTCCCGCAAGAGCCGCGATTCCAAGCCCTCCGGCTTTCTCTGCCCATCCCAAACCCCAAATGTAGCTCGGAGCACCCCGGACAGAGTCCCTCTCTCGACCCGCACGCTTGGCCTCACCAGCCAGTCCCACCAGCCACCTAGTCCACGAATTCACCTTCTAAGTTCCCCTCACCCCGACTTTCCCTTCCCTTCCCAGCCTCCTTAGCTCTTTCTCTCCTCGAGAAGCCCCCCCCCACCCATCTCGGTCCGTTTTCACAGCCAGGTAGGGGACAAGCCTTCCTGGTTCAGCGTCTATGTTCGCTGGCAAGGCCATCCGATGGATGGATGGATGGACGGCAACACCCACCCGAAAATGCTAGGTGCTCTCACTCATCCCTGTCCAAAGCAGCGGTTTTTATCCTCTTTTGGGTGACGAACCTTTTTAGGTATGTGGTAAAAACATGCATTCTACACACACACACACACAGAGAGAGAGAGAGAGAGAGAGAGAGAGAGAGAGAGAGAGAGAGGGAGGGAGAGAGAGAGGCGCGCGCACACATCCCTCACACTTTAGAACACAAATTATTTTGGGTGAGAAGATGCGGTCGTCAGGAAACCTCCCAAACCCCCTAGAGCCATGATTCCCAGTTTTCGCTCTTCTACACCCAGAGTCTCAGGAAGGGGAGGGGCGAGTCTGGAGGGTTTGTGTCTTGGGCCCAACCATGAACCCCTTAGTGGGGACGAGTTCCGCCCAGAGCCCGGGGCTCCCGCGCAGAGCAGGGCATCCAGAGGGCCTGGCTGGGCTAAGCACCCCAGGCGCCACCCAATCCCTAGGTAAAGACTACTGCGGGCTCTTCCACAGCCTTTTCTAGAAATCAAGCTCTCCATAGAGGCGCGCAAGAAGGTGCTGACAACCACCCCGCCCCGTCCC